AGGTAAAATTTCTTTCATTAGTATATTTTTCAACATGCTGATAAAACTGCTTCACTAAAGGAAACAAAAAAACCCAGCTCCTTTTACATTCTTTTATCATTCCGGAGCATAGTAGGTTTCTGAAACAAGGAAAGTAGCAATACACAGAACATGGGTACCTGCTTTTTCTCACAGTAATGTGGTAAGGGGTTTAGCTAGCCCTCTCTTTTGACCCTCTTTTTCCTGTTTATTTTTTCATTCTTCCATGAAAATAATGAGAGTTGATTATTTATTGAGAAAATGCCTTTTTCACTTCCTCTATAAAATTTAAATATCTGTAAATTATCACCCTACAGCCCACTATAGTGACCAGACTATACTTTAAAACATTTTAAATTATAGGTGATATATAAGTATAGGTGATATTTAATCTTTATAACTTGGGGATATACTTGTCTATAAATTTAAGTGGATGGAATGAGTTTTAAAAGTATTTCAAAAGGTGTGATGCCCTAATTTTGTACTAATCGTTCCAGTCTAGGAGGGAAATGTCATGATCGCAAAGGCAGTGGCCAGCAGGTGGGGGACCCAGGGGACCCAGGCTGCAGCTGCCCAGTGAGTGGGACTCACAGCCCCAGGCACCTCTTATGGCCATGCTGTGTATGGTGTCCCCTAAGTGCCGTCCCCTGGGTCAGCCCCTTGGTAGTTTAGAAAGTAAAGTAGCCACTCCAGTAGAGAAGGTGGGCAAGGGCCGGCTGTGGAGGTGGCCAGGCGGGTGTGGCGTGGTTGCCACGGGCAAGGGCCGTCAGGCCGCGGGCAAGCTGGAGCACCATCCCCCTGCCAGTGCTGGGGGAGGAGAGCCAGCCATGGCCCGCGCTCCTTGTCTCGCCTGAGCCTCAGCCCCTTGGCATGGGGCAAGGCCTAACCAGAGCGTGCCTTCCCTGCGCCTCTGCGCCCTGACATCAGGCCGTGGCCTGTTCCCACTCTGCAGCCTCCCATTGCGCATCGGGGCTCTCCCCGCCTTCTGAGGCCTGAAGTTCGTGGGGCTTGCTTGATAGGCTTTCTTCACTTGCTGCTGGTACAGAGTATCCCTTTGGTTTCTGTTTTTGCTGATGAATCTTCTCAGTCCCTCTGGATCCTGGTGCTCTGGAGGAGCCTCTGAGTGTCGACTAAAGAAGCAGCTTCCTCTTCTGTCTCCAGCTGCCCGCCGCTGATCTCATTCCATCACCACCCCAGTTGCTTGTGTAAACAGCCGCTTCATGCCCCTGGGTAAGTGGCTCAGATGGAGCACAGAGACTCTGCCCTAGGCCTTCTGCAGCCTGTCCCCACTCCTCACCTTGGTAGCACGATGGCTCTTCCAGTTGCTCAGACAACAAAATCCATGTTCCCTCCAATTTCTCGCTTTCACGTCCCACATGTTTCCATCAAGCAAGCCCTGTTGACTCTACCTTCAGAATATAACCCTCAGCCTGCCATTTTCCACTACCTCTGCTGTTGCCCACACAGTCTGTTTTACTGTCACGTCTCATTTTGTGTGCCGTATTTCCTGTCAATTGGTCTGACATGCCTGTCCTCTCACCTTACATAGTGGCCACAATGGTTTTAAATGACATAAGTCACTTCACTACCCTGCTGAAAATCTTCCAGTGGGCACGCTTAAAAAAATGGAGGTATGATTCATATAGCACCATTTAGATGTGTGCAATTCAGTGGTTTCTACTATATCCTCAAGGCTGGGCAGCCATCACCATTAATTAATTCCAAAACATTATTATCGCCCTGTACCCATTAGCAGTCACTCACCTGGCTCCTAGCAACTACTGGGAGGTGATGGGGGAGATGCTGGTGTGGGCAGATCACAGTCACTAGTCCAACCCAAACTCTACCTCCCCATTGCCTCCTCTCTTTTTCCATCCCTCCTCCCCCCATGTCTTCTCACTCTTCTCCTACTTCCCTTTCCCCCTCCCTGATGCTGCTCAGTCCCAGAACGAGGCAGCCCTGGTTCCCCTCCTGCCTTCACTCTCATCATCTGCTGACCTGTTCACTGCCCTGCATATGGTCTTGTGGAGTCTGTCCTCCTTCCCCAGCCTGGCCCTCCTTCAGGCCCTCACTTCATGCCTGAAGCACTAACTTCCAACTGTAGGCCATTGGAAAGACTCTAGCTTTTACTCCAATACATACTAACCTAAACGAACAGTGGCTCTTAGGAACGTTAAGGCTGTCATTGTAAATATGAAGAGCTGCAGGACTTCCCTAAGGTAGTCTGACTAGTTATTCACAAGCTTGCTGAGGACCCAGATCACCCGCTCAGGAATCTGCTGCAAGGTCACAGCGCCCAGGGCCTGGAGGACTTCAGCGCAATTACCACAGTCAGCACAGAACTGGTGCTCATCCGTGAAAGGCAGGAACAGATCCACTTGTGCACTAGGCATTCATACCAATGGTTTTCCTGTGGCTTGGGGATAAGTAATCTTAAACAGAGCACATCTTTCATCATTCTTATTTGTAATTATACTTATAAATAAATGAAACTGTTGTTTTCCAGAAAGTACAGACCAGATCTTCATTAAAGTTTGGGTTACTATGGTTAAGTAGAGCGTTTCCTAATATTTTCTGCTATAAGAAATAGCCTAGAGTGGAGGGTGGATCCCTCCCACTTGAGTATCCAGGTAGCCCGCTTCTCTGAGTCTTTTCCTTCATTTAAAAAGAGAAAGTGAGAATTTTCTTTGCTTATCTGAGCATTGTTGTGAGTTTCTGAGAAAGGGTGTGTGAAAGCACCCTGAAAGATGAAGGGTACCAACGAGGCATGGTGCTGTCGTCTCACGTAATAGCCTTTTATTTGTTGATACAGTGTGTTTAGTATATATACTGTGTATTAAATATTTCTGTAATTTAATAAACATCTCTAAGTCTGTTATTTACAATTAAAATTACTTTTTGAAGTATTAAATTTCAAAGGAAGTTTTGGTATAGAAAAGTAGAAGAGAAGTATTTTTTAATGCTAAAGTGTAAATTATTTATTTCTGTCTTCAAATGTGCTTGTATGTTTTCAAGAGCAGCAACAGGGTAGAATTTTGTGAGCTTAGTTAATCTTTGTTATTTTTTTCAATGCTTTCTGATTTTTATGTAAGTTTTAAAGTTCTGCCTTTTTGGCTGAGTAGAGGCCTGGAACTGTGTATCTTCATGTAGTACAGTGTATCACAATGTAGAAAGCTGGATATGATCACCTTGAAAGCTTGTGAGCTCATGCTAGGAAACTCTACAGTTTTGTTTTTTCCATGTTTCATTAATTTTTTCAACTGTATCCATTGTTTTAATTTTTCTGGGTTACCTTCTAGTTGTAATGGGTTCCCTTTAATTTTTCTAGTTTTCTGGATTATTTTCTATGTTGTACATGTTTGTGTGAGTTAAGATTGCTGGTTGTAAGAACTGGGGACTTGGATTACCTTAAGCAAATGTGGTTTTGGTTTTAGCAGGGAGGATCTGGAAAGCCCCCAGCTGAGCCCTGACACAGTGGGACTTCTCTAGTGGAAGTGTCCTCCTCCACTCTCACCAGGGTTTTGAGGCGCCCCTTCTCCAGCCCCCGTCAGCTCCACCACCTGTGCCTCATGTGGCACCACCTTTCCTACAAGGAAGAGCCTCCTGCCTAGGCGGGCCACTGGCTCTTGGCAGCCATCGTTGCTGTGATTGCAGCAGAGATGCTACTCATGTAGCTTTCTTACAGCCCAGCTTTTCCCGAGGTAGCATAGGTTCAGTAATGCCCTTCACAGGGTGTTCCCTGCCCCATCAAGTCTGTGTTCCATAGCCTTTGCCTTCTCTTTATGTGATTAGTATTATTTGCACAGGATGAGTGATTACAGTGGAATCACTCTTTCAAATTGCTTGTGTTTTTTATCCTGGGGTGTATTGCTTTGTGTGAGGTAGGGCTCGCCGGGTTGAAGGAGGGAGGCAGTTACTGACTTGCATTGCCATCAACTGCTTGCTTGCTTTTCACTCAGTTTCTTTAATACCATGAATTATTAATGTTTTTTATTTTTTGGTAATTTAATAGGTGTGAAAACTTGAATTCTTTAGTAGCAGTGTTTTAAAGATACATTGTCTACTTTTACAAGGAGAAAGACTGTTAATAAGTTTTAGATTTAAATCTTCTGCTGTCCTGAATATTTATATACCAGTCAGATAAGTTTAGCCTAACAGCCAGTGATTTTACTTAAACCATATTGATGAAGGCATGCTTTAAAGTAGTTATTGAATTTGATTAAAATATTTTAGGCTTAAAAATATAGTTTTTTGAATAGGTATATATGCACATGGTATAAATATTAGATTTCCCTTCAAGTTCTGGCACCATTTCCCATCCCCATCTTCATTTATTTCTTATGTATCCTTCCACAAAGAGGCTGTGCTCAGATGAGTACACATGTCTGACAACCTCTGGTTGCCTCACAGGATTTGTAGGAAGGTCTGTGTAGTATGGGTATAGCACATAGGAAGAACATGTCAAAGAAAGATTTCATTGGCTCTTTTGTGTGAACTGGTTTAACTGTATGTCCAGGACCACCAGGGGTTCTGCGGGCACTGTTGGCAGGGGCACAGGGAGTCCAGTGGGTGGAGCTCTGGAGCCTGCCCATGCCAGCCTGGACAACCGAGCAGCTCTGGTGTGAGTTTGCACTGAGACCAAGACTGTTTGGGGAAGGAATCCCAGTTGAATTAAAAGTGAAGATCGCCACGGTGCACAGTGCTAATAACTACGCTTCTCTCTGTGTCCATGGGTGTTTCTTACACACGCAGGGCTAACTGTGTCTCTCTCTGTGTCTGCAGGTGTTCCTTACAGTGTACCTCAGTAACAACGAGCAGCACTTCACAGAAGTCCCTGTGACCCCAGAAACGATATGCAGAGATGTGGTGGATCTGTGCAAAGAAGCTGGCGAGAGTGACTGCCATCTGGCTGAAGTGTGGGGTGGCTCTGGTGCGAGGCCCAGGCAGCCTTGTGCTTTAGCTGTGCTTTTATTGTTACTGGTTTTGGACACAGTGTGGGCAGTGCTCACGTTTGTCCACAGAGAAATGAGAATAACATGTCTTTCAGGAAGTGTTCTCCATCCGGCTTTGTTGGAATATGAAGTCTTGTTGCTGTTTTCTTTTTTCTGAAATACACCTGACACCACAGTATAAAAGGTCAAGGGACAGGCAGTCTGTATACTTGGGTGGAAGCTTCTGGGGTGTATGGTAAAGTGTATGTTGCTCAGAAGTATCTGTTGTATGCCTAGGCTTTACTTAGAAATATGAGGCATCCTGATTGCTTTGCTTTGCCCTCTCTAATTTCTTGTAGGTTTTTAGGGAAAACTATTGCGTATTGAGTTACTGTGGTGGCAGAAGGTAGTGGTGAAATCATAGACATTATTTTAAGCCTTGAAATCAATCCCTCAATCCCTCTCTATATTTGGAGTTATAGCATGGGACAACATGGTTTCTTTTCGGCGTCTTTATAGATACGAGAGTACTTACCATAATTTCTGCCTCATTCCCACATAGCCAGTTGAACTCCCACCGTTTCCCTTTTCTCTCCTGGGGTGCCAGTGTTCCAGCACAGATTACACACTGTGTTGATTGGGGTCATCCATTCCTGGTGTATGACTTGAGCTGAGCGCTCACTTCTCACAGGCAAGACCTCTTGCTCATCCAGTTGACTGTACTACAGGTGGGTGTTCTAGAAGGCCTCTGCACTCTCCCTGAATTGCTCGCTTCCTTTTCCCTTCACAGAGGCACAAGATCAGACCATTCACATAAAAGAGCCCAAATGATCCTTTTAACATGAGACTTTCCTGTTTGAATTCTTTAGTGGCTTTACCCTCTTAGAATAAAATCCAAATGCTGATCTTCAATTGTGAAGTCTTACAGATTTGTTTTCTTTTGTGATCTGGTTCATCTTCTTCCTTGCTGCCTCCTGCCTCGTCTTTGTGTTCCTGAATGAACTGTGCCCTTTCCAACTTGCCGGCTGTGCCGCTTGGATTCCAGCTAAAATGCTACCTCCTTGGAGAGGTTTTCTGAGTGTACTGCTGTGGCAGCCCTGGAGTTCTGTATTCCATCATCCTGATTTAATCCTCTGAGTAAGGCATGCGGGTGGTTCTTCTCTGTGTTTACTAGTTTATGGCCTTTTTAATCCTGGATTAAATACATGCGAGCTCCCTGAGCCAGAGACCTTGCTGGTCTTGTTCATTAGTGTGCCCCCATGGGGCTGGCGGGTGTCCTGTATCTACAGAGCATTGCGTTCAGCAGGTTACTTTGCTTTGCAGGATGATGGCCTCCTGATATGAGCTTGCCATTCCCTTCCTCTGTATGTACCTCGGAGTCTCCAATTTCCTTGGAGGAGGGCTCTTTCTGTCTGCCCAGGCTCACTCACCCTCTCCGTGGCACCCCCATTCTGATTCCACCTACTCCATTTTCTCTCTCCTGTCTTGCTCACTTGAGTTCAACAGCCCTTACTATGTAAGGATGATGTTTAAAGGATTTTATTTCTTCTGACCTTTTTAATTAAAAAGAAGGTAGATAACACAGAATGTGCTTTTATTTTTGTAAAAGAGGAAACAACATTGCACATGGAAGTCTGTCCCCAGGCTCATCCTGATTGCTTGATGTAATTGCTTAAAATTTTAGCAGATCACTTTTCAGACTTTTTCTCTGCATTTATAGTAACAATAGAAATAAATAGTTTTGCATGTTATGCTGTTGCTTTTTTTTTTTGTAAATAACACATCTGTATCCTGTAATTTACTATTTTACTTTACAGCGTAGCTTGGAGATCTTTTCAGATTAGTATCCCTCATCAACAGTTGATAGGATAATAAAATTTTTGCTAAGCTGACAGCTGAGGTTGCCATTTTTTTGCTTATTGGCCATTTGGATTTTCATTGTAAAAAAATGGTTTCCCTTTAGCCTTTGCTCATGTTCCCTTTGGTTTTTGCCTTTTCTCTCTTGATGTGTAAGTATTAAAAAAGAAAAAAAACCTCTATTCTGTATCTTAGGCCTAGAGGTGTTATTTAAAAAATCCTTTCCTTACTCTCCAAGGCTATAAACATATTCTCCTGGTTATTTCATACTGTGTTAAATTCTTTTCCTTGCTTCTCTTCTCTACTCTTCTCTGCCCCTATTAATTTTTGTGACTAATGTGAGTTAATAATGATATCTTTCCCAAATGAATTTTCTTCCCAAAGTGAATTTCCTTACATGGTTTATTGAACAGTTGGCTTCCTCCTTCCTGATGTGAAACATCACTTCATCTATGTTCTGTCTTACATGAAGTAATGTTCCTATATGCTACCAAACTATGAGTTTTAATTACTGCAGTTTTATAATATGTTGGGTCTCTTTAAGGCAAGTGCTTGTTCTCCTTTTAAAAAAATCTGAGCTGCTATTGTCTGTTTTCCTTTTCAGATAAATTTTAGAATTACCTCAAAAGTTTCCATGAGAAATTCTGTTGAGATTTTGATGGGTTGCAGTGAAACAGTTAATTTGAGGGCTGTTTGTATGGTGTTGTAAGTTAAGAACAAGGTCTTGGGTATCAAAATTCTGTCTCTTTCACTTACTAGTTTTATAACTTAAGGCAAGATACTCAACCTCTATAATCCTCAGGTATCCTATATGCAGAGTTGGAATAAAAATTGAACCTGTCCCATTAGTCGTGTGACAATCCAGGAGCTAATATTTGAAGGGGGCTTAGTATAGCCCCTGGCATCTTATATTGCCTGTAAGTAAGAGCTTTTATGTTTGTAACTCCCCCTTGGTGGTTGCAGATTGTGCAAGTTGCCCCATTTAAAAAATAGTAAAATACTGCTTTTATTTTGTTAGCTTCTCAAATTTCTCATTTTTGATCACTGACAATCTTTTGAAATGAGTACCTTTTCTTTGGTATCTCCATTTCTTTACTACCTACCCATCTGTTTGCTCAGAGGACATTTCTTGGATTCCTGTTATGTGCTAGGAACTGTTTGATTCTGAGAGCGAGGAAGCTGTCCTGCTTTCAAGCAGAAGCAAGGATCAGCAAACATTTCCAGGAACTGATGGTTGCGCTCTGCTTGCAGGAGAAGGGTGCTGGGGACATTCATCATTGCTAGGGTGGCATGTTCAACGTCACATCGTCATGAACGCCCTGACAGAGAGACCCATGTGGCTGGAGCCTGGGGCGTTAGAGGCTTTGAGAACCTCTGTTGTGTCTGTCAGTTTTTGCAGGTCTGCACTGACCTTTGTCATCCCAGGCCATTGGGACCTAAGTTCCCACACCTTCCAAGAAGGTCCAGCCCAGCACAGACTGCAGGTTACTTCACCTCCTATGAGTTCTCTCTTTGCTCCTGGAACCTGGGAATTTCACTTCATTTTTTTTCCGTTTTTTTTTTAAGTAAATGTGTGTGTGTATGTGTTTTGGTGAGAAGGTGGAGGGTATTCTTAGAAGTTCTTTTAGGGTGTCTGCTCAGCTATGGGTGTTCACTTTTGGGGGAGTCTTGTTAGGATCTTTGTGGTTTATAGAGGGAGGTTATCTGTGTCAACTCAGTATGTTATGTTACTATAAATAGAGCCAGAGCCTGACTTTGTGTGTTGCTCCCAAGCAGATTTGTTTCAGGGTTAGTTCACAGAATCAGCTGTTGAGTGCTTGGCTGCTCTGCTTGCTGCCCATGTGGTCTCCTGAAGGCAGTTAGACAGTGTCTTTGGTGACTGACAAGTGCACTGGGTTTTCTCAGGCTATTTCCGTGCTCATACAAATAATTACATTGATTTTAAGCGGTGTATCCTGAAAACAGTATGTTTGGTTTTTATATCTAGGTCCCTTGATATTGGAAGATTGAGAGGAGAGCTTCAGATACACATTTTCTTCTGAAGGCCATTGCTAGGCTTTTTAGCTGTGCCCTTTGTTTTGTCTCTAGAAAGTTCTGACAGCTGGTAGTCTCACTGGAAGTGTAGCCAAATAGCTGTATTTCCAGTACAGTAAATTGCCTTTTGTTTGGAAATAGATATGTCTGATTTTTTTTAAACACAGTTGTAAAACTGTAATTTAAAAATAGCCTAATACATAGTAAGACTAAGTCATTAAGAAAGTTGTTAATTTTTCATTTATATACTTAGAGAATCATAATCATTAGATTTAGAAGGGGCCTCAGAGACCATCCTATGTAGAAAATTTTGAAACTCACAGAGGTTCAGTGGCATGGCCTGCAGCTTGTAAGAAGCCCACTGAGTGAGACTCTGGAGCTTCTGACAGCTGGCCAGGTCCAGTCCTCTGTCCAGGGCTCCAGTGAGGTTTGATACTAATTATGCATGTGGAAACTCTGTGAGCCGTCATTTCCTAAGGGTTCTTTTAATGAAAAAGAAATTGTCTAAGATGCTAAGTATTTCCTACCTTACTAATGCGCAGTTCGCCTGAAGGATAGTATGTAACTTGTTTATCTTTCTTTTGCCTGCAGATAATGTGATTTCTGCTCATTTCTCTTAGAACGACCTGTTGCTGACAATGAGCGAATGTTTGATGTTCTGCAACGGTTTGGAAGTCAGAGAAATGAAGTCCGTTTCTTTCTTCGTCATGAATGTGCCCCTAGCAGGGACATTGGTAGGTGGTATTTATGAATCATAACAAAAATTTGAACTTCTATTTCATGTAGTGGAGTATCTGGGGAAAGCTGGCATGTGATCAGGAGCCAGGTGACTTGAGGGGGAATGGAGGTAAGGAACTGGAAGCAGTAGGGGTGGACCAGTCTTCTAACACCTGCCTGTCTTGAGTTTGGGGGGAGTGGCAGGTTTTGTTTACTTTGTTTTATTTGAAGATGGGGAGTTTAACAATAGTTTTTAATGCCACGAGAAGGAGTTAGTAGAAGCAGGTTGTTGAAATGCAAGAAATAGTAAATGCCTGATGGGCAGGTCACAAGGAGGCGCCTACTCCTCACTGGCGGGGGATTCTTAGGCTTGTGGGGTGTGGTTGTGTCCTCGTCAGCATGGCTTCAGTTATCAGTGTGCTCCATGGAGCAGGTTGGGCCTTCTCGTCTGAGAACATTGTTTTCTCTGAGAGGGAAGGCAGGATCCCCCTGGAGGTGGTGGGGAGTGGCCAGCAGCATGGGCTGTGGTGGGGAATTAACAGGCCACGGGTGCTTGCTGGGGAAGCAGAGTCCTGCTGGGGTTGGAGATCTGAGACCAGAGGAACCCAGCAGTGCACTGGATGGTTGCAAGAGGAGAAGATGGTTGGGTTGACTCACTGTTGTAGTTTTGCCAGACCAGTTCAGGGCCTGGAGAGAGAGGATTTTGGCAAAATGGCATCCCAGCCAGTGGGGAGGCAGTGTAGAGAGGAGACACATAGGGAGGAGCAGACAGGATCGCAGGCTGCCGTCCTCGGGTTCTGAGCTGGTGCAGGGAGGAATGGTGCTCAGAAAGCAGAATGCTTGGATACAGCTGTCAAGGCAGATGTTCTAGGTGATGTGCTCCTGGGTTTGACAGTGAAGTGAGCCTGAACTCAGTGGAGATGAAGAAGGTGCAGAGTTGAGGAGCTAGCCATGTCATTCAGAGTGAAGGCTGGGCTTGGAGTGGAGGCAGCATGGGGTCAGAGGTCACAGTGTGGTGTTTGAGGGTTGTGAGTAGAGTTCATAGATGACAGCGAGGAGCTGGGAAGGTCATACGTGGAGGTGGGGGGACAGTGGGCTGAAAACAGCATGCGCGATCGCTGGGTCCTTGGAGGGCTTGTGGAACACAGGAGGACAAGGGGTTTTGAATGTGAGACCTGTGGGGAAGCTCTGTTCTCAGGGCCCCTAGTTGGAGCAGGATTCCTAGGTATTTTTAAATGGTGAAACTTTTAAAATGGAAAGTTGAGGGTTTGTGACTTCAGCATGTAAGTCTTAAGAGTGAGAAGGTGGGTGAAAGATGTTAATTATTGGATGCTATAAAATCTCAGATTTATTGCTTTAATATAAATGTCCACATGGTACCCAGCAATTAGAAAATTTAATATTTTGAGTGTGAGGGAATGCCAGAATTGACTTAGTCTGGCTTTGTCTACTCTTCGGATGGGTTAAATGACTTGTCAGAGGCCATACACCTAAGGCAGAGCCCGGAGGGGAACCTGAACCGCCTCAAACCAGGCTGGCTTCAGTGTCTTTCAGTGTCATTGGTGTCTGTAATTTTATTTTAAGTAAGCATGCAATTTTCTCCTAAGACTTCTTTTTTATAGTTTTAAGTTGAATCTGCATCTAACTTTTATTTTGTTCTTTATTTACTGTAGACATCTACTTCTGATAAGTTTGTTGAATTTTACCCATTTGTTTGCTAGTTCAAATATCTTCCTATGTAGTACTCAGTTAATTATTAAATAGCCTCTCAGTAGTGCAATGTGTAGTTTCAGTGTGTCTGTAATGTGAGCACTACAATCTGAAGATAAAGAAGCTGTTTTTACATTGGCGCAAATCACCAGTGCCACATAGTGTTTAAATTGGGCTAAAACAGGTTTGCTTTTCAAGTGTCCTTTAATGAGGTGTATGAAGCTTTTCACTGTAGACTTCTAGATTGCAGATTAGGAGACTTATCATATTCTTTTTCCAAATTAACCAGGACCTGTGAACCCAGGATGTATATGAAGTTATTTTTAAAAATTGCTTTTTTTACTCTAATGATGTAGGTAAACATGCTAGGGAGAAACTGGTTGAATGCTCTATCTTTGAGGCAACAAAGAAAGCAATTATTCTTAAATGATAGATTCTTTTTTCTTACAGAAATATTGTGACAGATTACCTGGGCTATTTTGTCAGAGAATTGAACAGTGTTTTAAAAATAAAACTAACACGTTAGAGAGAGGTAGAAGTGTGATACCCGACTGAGGATAGACATACTTATTTATTGGTCTGGGAATTTGTGCTAAGCTTCAAGGCAGGTACACAGACGTTTGATTAAAAAAATTTTTTAATCTTAAATTTGTTGAGAAATAATTTAATAATTTTTCTGATTTTTGTAAACTATAGATATAAGCTTCATTTCATGTATTTTTGAAAGTCTCTGTTGATACTATTTATTTCTTATAATGTATTAGTTTAAATTTTCCCTTTGTGATGCATTAAATGGTACTGAGAGACCCATATATTTTGGCTTGAAAAATTATTTTTTAGCCATAAGAGCAGAATACCTGTTGTTTTCCAGTTAGTATTTTCACAAATGAAGAATATGGACATTTTTTGCTTAATTATATGGGTAAGTACTTCATAGTACTTACGAATTACCACAGAATGTCCTCAGTAAACCAAATATCAAAATGCCACTAGTTCTATTTTCAGTTGCTTTCTTCCTGTGTAAGTTACTGTTAATGAGTGCAAGAATGGATTGATCTAATTTTCACTTATTTCTTTAGTGAAACCATTCCTGATTTCACTACTGAGTAGCTAAATGGAGAACTAAGAGAAACCATAGGCAAATGGGGTGAATTACCCATAATCAGAAGTATATTTATTCTGTTAGTTTCTCCCCCTTTTGTGTCTGAATTGTGCAGCTTTCCTAGGGAATAGTTGGCATGTGATAGGTTCTAGTGCTAACTCTTCTCTGTGCCAAGTAAGGTTTTCCAAAACAGGCTGAATTATGAGATCTTAGCCCCATAGAAAATACCCTTCTTTTAAGTATGCTTTCAACTTAAAATATCAAACAGCAATAATAACAGAACTCAGAAATGAACCATACTTACATCTGTGTTAATGACTACTCTAGTGTTAATGCATCGTTTTTGAATTTTGTGCCTAGTGAGTGGACCAAGGTCTCAGGATCCAAGTTTAAAAAGAAATGGTGTGGAAGTTCCTGGTGATCATCGGAGGAAGGGGAACGGAGTAAGTGGCAGCCTCACCTCTGCTGTGCGCATGGTGGTGGCCTTAACCTTGGGATCTCATTCATTGTTACTTCGTTACTCATAGGCTATTAAGATGGCCCTTTTTAAAAAGGCTATTTAAGATTTATTTCACAGAAATGATTAATTTTAATGACCCCTACATGGCTGGTTATTTAAAGAAGTTAGATGCTGAATATATCATAAATTCAGAGCAAAACAAATGTTGAACTAATCTGAGGAAGAATTTGTGTTTTGTGATTTTGTTTGTTGCTATAATCTCTCTTAGAAAGTGGAAAATTACCTATCAGTGGTCTTGCTATTGCATATGGGTTTTAGCAGGTATCTTTGGGGGTACTTGTAGACGTTTTCTTTTCAGAGCTATGTCTTTGTAGCCTGTTAGGGATTACTAAATTACTTTTCTCCACTCTACAGGAAACTTATGTTAGAATCCCAATTATCTGAAGTGCCATTTGTTCCTACACTACCTTTCTACAAATTGTTTTTGTTCCTCTTCTTTGATTTTAGTTACTTTCCAGTGATGAAAGGCTGGTGTAAGAATGACAGAAATGGGCTTGGCCATTAGCAGGATTGGGGTGTATCTTGACACAATGTATTTCTCTCCCCTCACTGGTTTTTTTTAAGCAACTTTATTGAAATATAACTGACATTTAATTAAGTGCACATAATTTCAGCTGCATGATTTGATAGGTTTTTGACATACAAACACACCTGTGAAACCATCGCCATGATCAAGATAATGAACATACCCCTCGCCCCATCTGTCTCCTGGTGTCCTTTTGTGCTCCTTCCCTGTTTGTCTCCCTCCCCATCCTCACGGCACTGCGAGTACATCCACTTTCTGTCACTACCAATTGATTGTATTTATAGAATCTTGCATAAGTGAAATTCATCCAGTTTGTAGTCTTTTTGTCTGATTTTGCTCAGCAGAATTATTTTGAGATTCATGTTTTGTTATGTATATCATAATATACATATTCCTTTTTATTGCTGGGAGTTAATTCATTGTCTGGATATACCACAGTTACCTATCCATTCATCTGTTGAAGGACATTTGGATTTTTTCCAGTTTTTGATTATTTCCTAACAAGCTACAATGAATATTTGGGTATAAGTCTTTGGATGGCCATATGCTTTTGTTTCTCTTGAGTATATACTTAGGAGTGGAATGGCTGAGTTGAATGGTAGATGCAGTTAACTTTTTAAGAAGCTGCTAAACTGTTTTCCAAAGTAATTATTTCATTTTACTTTCCCATCAGAGAGTTCCAGCTTTTCCACATTCTTGCGTACACTTGGTATGGTCATTCCTTTTAATTTTGGCTAATAGTTGTATGGTGGCTTTCATTTGTGTTTCTCTAATGGCTAATGATATTTGGCTTCTTTTCATGTGTATTTACTATTTGTGTATCTTTAGTGAAGGATTTGTTCAATTCCTTTGCTCATTTTTTTCTCTATTGGTTGCTTGCTTTCTTACTATTGTATTTGACAGTTCTTTATATATTCTGAATCCAAGTCTTTTATTAGATATACGATTTGTAAATATTTCTCCCATTCTGTGACTTTTTTTTAACTTTAGCAAGGTATATATAATTGATGAATTTAGAAGTTTTATAATTTTAGGTTTTACATTTAAGTTTATGATCCATTTTGAGTTAACATTTGCATATGGTGAAAATTAAAGTTCATTTTGTTTTTTATATATGGATATCTAATTATACAAACAATATTTGTTGAAATGACTATTCTTTTCTCCACTCAGTTGCCTTTTTACCTTTGTCTAAAATCGTTTGCCCCCTATATGTGTGGGTCTGTTTTTGTACTCTCTGTTCTTTTCTGTCGATCTATTTATTTATCTTGATGTCAATATCATACTCTGTTGGCTGCCAAAACTTGATAAGTCTTACAGTTAGGTAGTGTAAGTTTCCCAGTTTATTCTTTTCAAAGTTGTTTTGGCTATGCTAGACCCTTTGCACTTCATACAGAATTTTAAAATTTGCTTGTCAGTGACACAAAAAAAGACCTGCTGGGCTTTTGTTCAATCTGTGGATCAGTTTAAAGAACTGCTGTCTTGACAGTGCTGAACTTTTCAATTCATGAGCACTATGGCTTGTCTCTCCATTTATTTAGGTCTTCTGTTTCTCAGCAGTGTTTTGAGGTTTTCAGTGTACAGGTCTTGCACATCTTCTGAAGTTATTCCTAAATACTATTTTTTTTTTTGAATTTTCTTAAATGCTTTTTTGTAATTTCTTGACATCATAATATGCTTTTTTTTTTTTTTTGAGAGGGCATCTCTCATATTTATTGATCAAATGGTTGTTAACAACAATAAAATTCAGTATAGGGGGGTCAACGCTCAATGTACAATCATTAATCCATCTCAAGCCTAATTCTCGTCAGTCTCCAATATTCTGAAGCATAACGAACAAGTTCTTACATGGTGAACGAATTCTTACATAGTGAATAAATTCTTACATGGTGAACAGTACAAGGGCATTCATCACAGAAACTTTCAGTTTTGATCATGCATTATGACCTATAAACAATCAGGTCAAATATGAATATTCGTTTGATTTTTGTACTTGATTTATATGTTGATCCCACATTTCTCCTATTATTATTATTATTTTTATTTTTAATAAAATGCTGAAGTGGTAGGTAGATGCAAGATAAAGGTAGAAAACATAGTTTAGTGCTGTAAGAAGGCAAATGTAGATGATCAGATGATCAGGTGTGTGCCTATGGACTAAGTATTAATCCAGGCTAGACAAGGGCAGCAAGACATCCACGGATGCAGAAGATTTCTCTCAAAGCAGGGGGGGTGAGGTTCTGAGCCTCACCTCTGTTGATCCCCAAATTCTCACCTGATGGCCCCCCTGCGACTGTGCCTGTCTTAGGTTGTTCCTCCCTTGAGGAATCTTACCCGTCTCTGGCTAACCAGTCATCTTCCGGGGCCATACAGGGAAATGTAAAGTTGGTAAGTGAGAGAGAAGCCATATTGTTTGCAAAGGTTAGCTTTTTACTTCTTTGCAGATTTATGCCCTGTGGCTTCTATGCCCAGCACTTGTCTCGAGGTATCTTTACCACCTGGAGGAATTATGATACTCGGTAAATTCGATATGAGGCACGAATTCTATTTAAGGTTTGTAATTAGGAAGGAAGAAGAAAAGCTATAGATGTAGCATATGAAGGAAACTTGGGAGGATTGATTATTTCTTTGACATATCTTCTTGTATAGTACCTTAAGTATGTATAGGTTTTAAACTACTAACTAATTTGCACACACATATTAACATAATAGGAATACGGTGACATAAACAAAGCAAATCTATAATTACCAGCCATCTCCAGTGAAGCCAAGAAAACCATTTAGGCACCCTAGGCATTTGTGAAAATTTATCTATGATATGATGGATATTTTCCAACTGTACTTGAACCATCAGACAAATTAAAGCAGCCCATTTCTGGGATCTGTTCACATCCCATATGTTCTTTTAACCATAGATAGTCTATAGTCATGAGATTTTGGGGTGCTACAACTTGCACCCCTCCCAACTCCTGGTTGAGTTCCAACAGTACAGATCCAGTCAAATTCGTTGTCTCACTGTATGCACATGCCAGCCTAGACATCTCCCTCCTCCTTCTTATGGCAAGTCCAGGAGACGGTGGGCTGGATGCAGCCACAACCGCAGCATCGTCCGGATCCCTGTGGAGGCTTTTTGATGATCATCCCCCGGCACGAGTCCTCCAGAGAGTGCTGATGCCGGAAGCTCCTCCTCATATCGTATCTTAGTTCATTTTCTGGGTATCCAAGCTAGGCCTTGATCTTCTGCGTAGAAACAAACAGACCCTTTGCCCACACTTTGACATGCCCTCTATACCACTGTGCAGAACTCATTGGAGGTCAGCACACAGTAACTGCTTTTTTTTTTTTTTTTAATTAAGAGAAAGGAATATTATCAGAAAAGAGTACCTCCATAGCTGATCATCTGACACCCTTTAAGTGATCAACATTAAGGATATTTAAAGCATGCGTTGATCTTTGATTTACCAATAGTTTTATCCTGTTAAGGAGTAATCCCCCTTTTCTTTCTTTCTTTCTTTTTTTTTTTTAATTTTTAATCTACACTTACCTGAAGAATACTATGTTTACTATGCTCTCCCCTATATCAGGTCCCCCCTAACAACCACATTACGGTTACTGTCCATCAGCTTAGCAAAATGTTGTAGAGTCACTACTTGTCCTCTCTGTGTTGTGCAGCCCACCCTCCCCTTTCTCCCTCCCCCCCATGCATGCTAATCTTAATACCCCCCTTCTTCTTCCCCCCCCCTTTCCCTCCCTGCCCACCCATCCTCCCCAGTTCCTTTCCCTTTGGTACCTGTTAGTCCATTTTTGGGTTCTGTAATTCTGCTGCTGTTTTGTTCCTTCAGTTTTTCCTTTGTTCCTATACTCCTCAGATGAGTGAAATCATTTGGTATTTCTCTTTCTCCGCTTGGCTTATTTCACTGAGCATAATACTCTCCAGCTCCATCCATGTTGCTGCAAATGGTTGGATTTTTCCACTTCTTATGGCTGAGTAGTATTCCATTGTGTATATGTACCACATCTTCTTTATCCATTCATCTACCGATGGACATTTAGGTTGCTTCCAATTCTTGGCTATTGTAAATAGTGCTGCGATAAACATAGGGGTGCATCTGTCTTTCTCAAACTTGATTGCTGCGTTCTTAGGGTAAATTCCTAGGAGTGGAATTCCTGGGTCAAATGGTAGGTCTGTTTTGAGCATTTTGATGAACCTCCATACTGCTTTCCACAATGGTTGAACTAATTTACATTCCCACCAGCAGTGTAGGAGGGTTCCCCTTTCTCCACAGCCTCGCCAACATTTGTTGTTGTTTGTCTTTTGGATGGCAGCTATCCTTACTGGTGTGAGGTGATACCTCATTGTAGTTTTAATTTGCATTTCTCTGATAATTAGCGATGTG